GCGTCTTTGTGTTCGTCTGCAGCTATATTTGTGAGAACGAGCTTCGCTTCCAGAATGAGGATATTTTGGTTTTCACTTCCGACACATTTTCTAAGGCATAGCTGAAGGTTAGCTGTACCCATGTGAGGATACAAGTCAAATCAGACCAGACCCGTCCCTCTGTTTTTGCATGCAGGCTGCTAGCTGTCGGCTCTCTGCTTCTGAGTGCCTGTATGCCTGACTCAGACATGCGAAAGGAAAAGCAGAGACTCTTGAATGCTTCTTCTTCGTTCAGCAGGGGGAGGGGGAGAGCTGGCGCTGCTGTCCAAGTAGTCTGGCGAGAGTTTCTCCATGGTGATGCTTCGTGTTTCAAACAAATTGGGCTGTGAAAGGAGCACAGGGTGGCCCGTCGGGAAGGCCTGTAGCTCACACAGAGGCCCGCGTTTGAAGGGGACTCCTGCAAATTATGTAATATTAGCCCAGAGAAGAAATGTTGAATGGTAAAACAATGACCTTCATCACACTGCACTAAAATAAGAAACAGCTATGGACAAAAGCAATGCTTTCCAGTCTTGACTATGTAAACAGTGGCAGTGGCTGAAGAGTGAAATATAAAAAGTGTAAAGAAATGTGAGCATTTACTGTTTGAATTTGTTGAGTTTAGGAGAATTTCTAATGCCAGTGAAAAAATGAACAGAACTATATCAAATATTTCAGGTTAGATTCATGCGGACAGAATCTACCTCTTGTGAAGCAGCTTGGTCTCATAAATAGACTTTTCTTTGCTTTGCTGCAGACAACATCTACAGGCGCTGCCATGTTGAAATTCTGACTTTTTAACTGGAACGTTGTTACCTTGAGTCTGATGTCAAATCCATGTTCCTAATTATGACTTCCCAGGTAAATGAAATGCAGCATCACTAATCTGGACCCTAAATCACAGGCTGGCATGGAGTCAAAAGGCAATACTCTTACTAAGGTGAAACGGCTTAAAAAATAACATGCAGTTTGTTGGTGAGGATGTCAATTCCAAGCTAGCTACCTGAGCTAACCAGCTAGCATCACCTTGTATAAACTCCAAGTGTTACTCTATGAAGAGTAGAACCGCAAAAAGAAATTTGGTGCAACAAGAACTTAAAAACTTTACATTTAACGGCTGTTTATTCTACATCTATGCATTAAAATCCTAGCAAGCATAAATAAATGCTACAGACAACATGATAGCAGTAACAATTTTAATGTTTTATTTTTGCTGCATTGGGAATAATTCTTGTGTTGCTCTTTTAAGTAAAACTCTAAATCAATCAACTTAGATTAGAAATGATTAATCTCACAGTGAAATAGGGCTCAAGACTGTCTTTAGAGCAATATTCTATGTAAAGTCACCCCAAGTTAAGATATATAACAAACTACAAACGTGCTCTGTTCATCAAATGTGATCTTCCAGGAGAACATCCTGCATCTTCTGCTCCTCTTAGTTTGTTATTTGTCAGGCTAAACCTCATATAGACTTACACTGGAAAACTCTCTCAGCCCTATCCATCACACTGTATGAGCTTGTCAACATAAACAAAACGTAACAACAAAGACCCAATGCCATGCATGATTCAGCGTTCCCTCAGAGCGCCTACAGAGTCAGCGTGCTGCCAGGACCGCACCAGCCTGTGAGGACACACTGTGGCCAAACGCATAAATCTCTCCATCAGCGCTCACACCCCTGGCGCTGCTGCAGCTGTTGACAGTAACACAGCTCTGCGAGGCTTGGAGATTTTTTTTCTGCGAGAGTGAGAGAACAAGATTATAAACGTCTTAGCAACCTACTTTTTATTTTTTATTTTTACCGACTTAAATGCTTAATTAAGTGAAGTAGATCTGTTATTTTCATGTTCTGATGATGAACTTCTTTCTTTCTATAACTTTTTTTTTAGGCTCTGGTGGCAAGAGTTTAGATTTATGGCCCACCCTCAGTGGAGATTGGACCAATCACACATCCCAAGAAGAGTTGTACTTGACTCACCCTGTGGTTACAAAAAGTGACAAAATGGAGCTGTAATATGTTAAACAAAAGCTAAAAATGAGAGACGTCACACTGCTTAAATAAATGGTGGTCTACAAATAAAAGCAGTAAAACCAATTATAATAATATGTTGGGTTTACTTTGGGCTTATAATAGTCGGGTCAGATTGGGCTCTGACACAATGTCTACGGGCGTGGACGGATTTGTTAGGCCAGATCTCAACTCTACTAGGCCAATGCTGAACAATGAATAAACAGGAAGTAGGGAGGAGAGAGACAGGAAGCAGGAAATGGCCTGAGATCGGAAGTCGAACCCAGGACGACTGCATTGAGAACTACAGCCTCGACCAACTGAGCCACCCAATCATCCAATTTCTACTTATTCTTCAGCAGCAAAATCGATGGATAATTTTAAGAAACTATGAGTCAGACCTATGCTTCAGCAGCCTTCCGAAACTGTCACATAACCACCAACTCTTTCAGACACCGAGAGCCTAAAAACACTGTGAGCCGTCTGTAGAAACAGGGGAATATTCTGTGTTACTTTGCCTTTTCTTTGCTCTTTTCTTCACTGCATCAAAGGCTATAGAGAAACAAATGTAGAACCACACCTTATTCAAATCAGGACGGGAAGAAACAATGCGGAGACTCAGAGCGGAGACTCCCTTCAGACGTGGGCCGTCCCAGGAGACCACCGGAGGAGAAAACGGCTACAACACCTTCTCCGACCTCCTCCATTCAACACTTTATCTAATTACGTCTTGACCATTGTAGCTCTTCATTACGCTAATTCCCTCTCCTGCGTTGTCATTGCCCTTTGCATCTTTCCGTCCCCGCGGCGGCTCTGTGTTTTACATATAAGCGAGGGGCTCTGCCTGGCCTGGTTGCCAGGATACGGGGTCTAATTGAGGGGTCTCCAGAGAGTAGCTGTTATCAGAGCCTGAACCCTCTGTTCCTGTCACCGCCCTCATGCTTTCTCTTTTTGGCTCTGTTTCTCTTATATTTCCACCCACGCATCAAGCACACAGTGTTAGACGTCTTTCTGACATCTTCAAGCTTTTTTAGACTCGTATATCGAACTGATGTTGACAGAATCTTTTTATCCTTATCTGCTTCCACTGTAGTTCCCTCAAAGAGTTGGACATCAGTTTAATTTCTTGCTTTGCTCCCTTTGCTTTTGGGGTTTGTGGATGAATTTCCTGTTGCTCGCTTTATCTGCCCGTTTCATCTGCCGTCTATCCGTTTGTGCTTCCACTGGTTATCTGCTGCTCCATTTCTCTTCGATCCCACCGTCTTTTCTGTCACTCTGCCGAGCCGTTATCTACCACAGAACATGGCACGGAGTCCTTAGCCGGCATCGTAGCTGCTTTCCAACACACACAAGTCTAGATTCACATTCCTGACAAGCGAATTCATTGGTTGAAGAAGCATTGATGCCGTGTTTTCCTATTCCTGTGTGCTGACGATGAAATGATTTGTCAGCCGCTAAGACAGTCAGTCTAAAATAACTTAAAACTTCCTTCTGCCAATCTGCCAAGATTCATCTCTGCCAGCCGCAATAATTCTAAGTAGTGGATGCAACTTATACTCTAGTAACGTCTCTCTGACTGGACGTTACTTTCTGCAATCAGTAATCTGGCTGGAGCGTTATCTGTATTTAGGATTTCTCAGGTTTTCAAGAATAAAGTCAGAGGAAGCATGAAAGGTAGAAATAACTCCTAAAAATTTTTTTTCTACAGATGCTCATTAGCTAACATGCTTTTTCTGTCACCAAGCTGTGTTGAACCTTTAGTCAAATCTGTTAATTTAATTGCGGAGCTGTTTAGCGGCGACTGCTCTCTCGAACACACACAGTGTGATGTCGCCTCTGTTCTTAACTTAACTAGTTAATGATCAGTTGAAGGAAGGATTATTAATGCTCCTTCATAGTTACATCAAATAAATATGATTCATCTGACAATCTAACAGGTTTACTAAAGTTCTATAAAAATGTTATTTATATTGAACGGAAAATATGTAAAAAATATATATATATATTTTGTGACACTTACAGATGTGTCAAAAGCCCAGAATCTTGTTGCTAAAAAGTTCAATGATCATCTTATCAAGGAAAAAAATTGGAGCTCTTAAATCACAACTGGCTAAAAATCTATTTCTACATGACAGAGAGCTGCAAAATTGGCGATCGGTGCTTCTCAAAGTTATAATTTAGACTTTTTGTTACGAAGTTTCATGTTGATGAAACACCGAACACGCATTCGTCTCTCTAAAACTCTCCCACATCAAAGAAGCTCCATATTCCTTATTCAGTGCTTCTTCCCCAGGCATATTCTGCTCATTTTCTTGCCTTTCATCCACCTCTCTGTTCGTTCTTACTCTCCATCTCCACTGCAATGCAGATTTTTCTTCCCTTTATGGAAAGCCACAGCCAGGATGCAGAATGCTAAATTTCTCCCACTTTTCTGTTAAGATATAATGGAAGATGCACCCGCAGAATCACACACATACACACACACACACACGCACATCAGGAAAGCCTTTTCAAGCAACAACTGCATGTTTTCTTCACTAGTTTTAGAAATATGTGAACCTGCCACACTATGGGTTACATTTTTTTTCTAAAAATGTTAACAAATCCAGAGTTTTTACACACTCGGAAAGTTGCAGGCATCATGCCTGGACTGACGAGGCTGTATGGAAGAGGACGTGAATGGGAGGTAAGGCATTATTCCCATGAGTCAAGTGCTCTCTTAGCAACCAGCCAGACATCGGATTCACAACACAATCACGTAAGACGAGGCAAAAGAAAAACTCCCACACGGTCTCTTGCAGAGACACACATGTGCAACAATCGCCCTGTCTAAATGTTGCATTCAAAGCATTGAGGTACAAATATTTACAAATATTTAAAACTTGCACAAAAAAGTCAGTAACAACAGGATATACATAGAGAGAGAATCCCAAGGAAGCATATAAATTTCAGCAGTTTTTCCTCTGAGGACTACCTTGTAAGAACAGTTTTCCTGGTGGACCATCCTTCACAGCATCCTAGAATGGGGCTGGCTGAGCTGGAAGGAGCAGGAGCGAGACTGGGATGAAATTCCCAGCCCTGCAGCGGTATTCCAAAGGGAAGAGGGGGGAGAGGTCCCAATGAGTCCTGGATCAGAACTAACAGGGCGGTGGAAAATTAAAAAAAAGTCCACAGCTTGTGCCCGGCCTCGAGTCAGGCAAGTCTTCACCCACCCTCTGCTCTGAATCGTTGCTTGTTATCTGCTCTGTTTTTTAAGAGGAAGGAAAAAAAAAAAAAGGGTAGGGTTTGATCTGCTTCCCGAACGCTGAAAAAGAAGGAGGGGCGTGAGAGACGGGAGGAGGAGGGGTGAGAGAATGGGAGAGAGGCTTAGAGAGCGAGAGAGATAGAGGAGAGCTTGGTTTTCTCTCTCTGCTTTGGACTGAAAAGAGGGAGGAGTTGTGTTGAGCTGAGTGTAAGCGGAGCTGGCCGGTTGGGGAGAGGGGACCGCGGAGATGGGAACGGAGGGGGCGGCGTGGGCCAGAGCTGGGACGCTGTCCGGCATTTAATGTGGAGCCACGCCAGAGGTGGAGAGACAAGGAAGGGCAGAGGACTGACTTTCATTCCTCAGTCCTGCACCATCATCATCAGAATGAGAATATAACACGGGTATCGACAGAAGTTTACATTTTCATAAGAAAGTCTGTAAAAATGCTAAATATCAAAAGCAGGTGTCCAAAAATAGCATATAGCCAAAGTTTTTATACATTAAAAACTACAAAGATCTCCACGTCACTAATGTTATCTGTATATTTCTGTTTCCTGAAATTGTGGGTCATGAATGGAAATGCGTCGACTGTGCAACTTCTCTTCATTGTTTGTCTTGTTGTAGGACTATAATCCCTCGGCAGCAGATGGCCGCTCTATAATCCACATCAAAACTACTCAGATAATTCCTCTCTTCCCCGTCTATTCATTACTCAGTTCAGACATCTTTTCATTACTTGGAAAAATCCATGTTGTCGTTTTCCTTGTTTGTGTACTAAATAAACATTCCAAGCATTTTTACCGCTGTGTACAAAGATAAACTAACTAACTGAACACAAAACTTTAAAAAGCATCTAGCTAGAAATACACGCAAGAATCAGCTGATGATGGACCACTAAAAAATATATATGTAAAATCATATTTTCTAGTTTGTAAATTTACCATGACCTTAGTACTACCAGATCAGAACTGCAACACTGTTCGGTGTGGATGTTACTGATGAAAGAAGATTCGACGTTAGCCATTTTCAGTTACAGTGACATATTTATCAGTAAGTGGAGGAAGATGTGTGAAGACAATTAAAAGGAAAATGCATATTGTAAGACATGTTGAGAGAGGAAGAGAGCAATACTTAAAGTAGATAACATGAAGGTAAAACTTAGAACAGCAAGGACAATAGGCTGACGAATAATAATAATAGTAGCAACTAATGTTTTCGGACAATAAATCATCTTCAGTATTAGTTTGCTAATTTCTTACAACATATAAGAAAAATGTATATGTTATATTTCAGTAATTATTGGCAAAAACTGATGTAAATAAATGTAAGCGGTTCCACAGCTGGTTGCCTGGACGCATCTAGATTGCTGATGAGATTTTCAGATTTAGTCATTAATGACTTAATAATGTGGTTAGTTAGGAAATTATTGACATTTAAAAACAATTCACTACCAGTAAACAACCAGTAAAGCATCTATAGTACAGGTTTGCAACTTCCTCTACTGATATGTTCATGTACTTTACCACAGCCTACTAGTTTATTTATTTTGGTAGGTGAGTAGTTTGATTTTGATTTGAAAATATAAATTACTACAAAGAGGATCTTAGATTCTATTTCTACTGATTGTGATTCTGATTCCCCTTTGGTACAGTTGACTCATGAAACCAGAACAGAGTGTCCTCTGGTTTGGTAGATATTACTTACTGACATCTCATTACCGCATCTCCTTACGGTAAGCTGTGAGTAAATTATAGAAAATAAACTTCAGTCATCAGCTTTTAAAGAAAAGTATTCAAATAAATAACCCAAAGGCAGATCCAAAAAGAACGTTGTTTGTAAAAGACATCTCTTTTCCTTTCAAACTGTTCTGGGCAGAAAAAGACCAGAAATACAAAAACCATAAAATTGAAGAAATAAAATTCATAAGGGCTGATTAGCATTCACATTTTCTCTTAATGTTGTCTTGGAGAAGCTCATGCAAACTATTCTTGGAAGGTGTGGATGACTTTCATGTCATGATGCAGAAACTGGAATGAACTGGATAAATCACATTTAAATGAGTCCAAATCTGCTCCCTCCATCCCAGAGAAATTGGACAGTGTTCACACGAAATGATTAATGTTACTTCATCATGAGTCAAAGCACTGCATGAGGGATGGGGGTCTCTCAAAGCGGGAAAAGATAAGCATACACCGGTCCTGATTTCAGGCCAAAATAAAAACTAAATAGATGAACAGTGGATGTGACACCGGCAGGGAAATCGGCAACCTGGATCTAATCTGCTGTGACAAATTAATGCTCAACAAGCTCCTTGTTTTTCTGCCCCCCGTCAAAAACTCAAGTTAATGACAACGAGATGTGAAAAATATTACATCCTTACGCAATTAAGCATGCATCTATTTCCAGCTTTCACTTTTGTCATTCGCTGGGTTGCATCCGCGCTGCTCTCTCACACGTCTCTTTCTCTCGGGCCAAACCTCTCTATCCAATATTGATCCCTCCTGGGTGATGCTGCTTTTCCCAATAAGACCACTCTTGGGTTTAATGACCTGGAAGTGGATCGATGAGCTGCCTCGCTCTCTGATCTCTCTCGGCTCAGGCCTGCGCGCCGTTGGCCCCGGCTTAGCCTTCAGCTCGGCTGCCAGCTGGGACAGACTGGAACGATGCCCATCTTCTGACACCGGAGGACATAATCATCTGTGTTAAAAGATACCAACTCGGCCTCACGAAAGCCTTCTTAATCTGATTCAATGTTACAAGTAAGCTTATTTAAGCTTAGAGAAAAAAAGTGGAACGGCAAGTAACTGGACCTTTTCCAGTTTGCTGCAGATGATGCTGGGGTTCAAGTGGATGTGCGAAGATGGTTGTACAAACTCACGACTTTAGAAGAGGCAAGGCTGATTCAGTAAAACACAGGCAGAAATGTCCAACACTGATATTTTTTCCTATATGCTTCCGAGTAAAAAATGGAAAGAATCCAAACAAATAGCGTCAATACATTAGCGCACACTTTTCTTCTTCTTTTTTTTGGCTTTTAAAAACAAAAACGAACCTGAAGAAGTGTACATTTTGTACAATGTGCTAGTATTTGTATAGATTAGTATCGACTGAAGTTTTATTTAATTAGATACTAACTTCTGGGGAACACATAAACACGGCTGTCTCAGTAATGTTGGAAAAGCTAACAAGGCTAATCACTAATATAAGAAGTTTAAAATGTAAACTCAGTCAGCTTGAAGTGCTTCCAAGAAGTTGTGATCTCAACTATCACTGCAAATTCACTCATCGTTCGCAAATATTGCACAGACTTGCAAATTTTCTCCCATCATTGCAACTTTTACGCAAATCTGACCAATCAGCTTTACGCTTTGTGTTTTTTTTTTTTTTGTATTTCTCTTTCTGATTTAACTTCCTGGTTCACGACATCACTTGAAAGCCAAACCCGGAAGATGAAAGCATGTGTGATGCTAAACGATAACATTTGGGATTTTTACTTTTTTTTTTTGTTGAGATGTTCTGTTGGATTTGCTTATTTTGTGTATATAGTTCAGGTTAACTTAAATGACCAGTATGAGATTCTTGTTTTGAACTTTGATAATTCCTCAGGACGGGATTTGATTTGGATGAAGGGTGCTTTTTCAAGTAGGATAATATCTGCACTTTAAATATTAACTATGTTAAAATCCCGTCCTTTTTTGGGAAGGTTGTGTGCAACTTTCTTGCAAGATCATGTTATAGCAAAATAAAATTTATTTATTTTATTTATTTCGAAAAAGATGTTGTAAAACCAGTCATTGTAGGCTGCAACAATCATAACCAAACATTGCAACATCCTAGAGGGACTTATGTTGTCTGTATTACAGCGGCTGCTCTTTCACACTGCACTGTTATGCCGCCTGTTTCTGCTCCTCATATAAATAAGTAATGACTCCTCACGGCGAGAAAGCTGGGAAAATATTTTCAATTCTGTTCTCATAATATATTTCACTAAGCTTAACAAAAATCAGAGATAAAAAGCTGCCACGGTGCATCAACAAAGATTTGATCCCAAGAACAGCAAATGTAATCACACAACATTTGGTTTCTCTGTTGGAGAGTTCGCAGTCTAAGCTAGGCTTTCCTATATCAACCAGTTTAAAGTTGTTTGTTTTTAAACAGAGTCTTGTCCGTTTTTATGACTGCTGAAGACTAAAATGAAACCGAACACACTGGAATGTGACGTTCTCACTTCAGCCGCCATGAGTTCAAATCTGCGGGATCAGAAAAAAAGCCTGCTGCTTCTCCCTTTTCAATACAAACACACGGTGAGGAGTGAAAAACTTTGATCTGCTCAGATAAATTAAGTCAAGGCAACCTCCCCTTGCTCCTCCGTCGCCATAGCAGCAGTCAGTCCAGAGACATCTCTAACCTCATCTCCTCTCCTCCTCCATCCCCAAATCTGACCTTCACATGGTTGTCACGGTTACAATCTGAGTCAAAGCACAGGTGGAGACCGATACACAGCATTACTTAATTTACACCAAATGAGGACAAAACAACAGCGAGAGCTCTGGGCTGTTCGAACATCATGTCTACAGATCACTTTTGAAGGCCGTCAAATGAGACTCAAGAGCAAAAAATACAGTTTTAAAAACGTTGATTATATAAGTGGCCCAAACTGGCACAAAGATGACAGAACAAAGACTATTATTAGTGGGAGACGGCGGACGGCAGCAGTCAAAGCTTCCCACACACCGACCCTGTGATGAGTTCACTGTCTGGTCGGTGAAAAGCTGCAAGAACTCTGCGCATATTCTCATCTTCTAAAATGAAGCGTCTGCATTAGAGATGCAAGTTACAGATTAATGAGTTCATCTAAAGTTGGTTGATCTTATCCATCGACTAACCGATCAGCATTCATTTTCTTAAAAACCCGAGTTTTCTCTTGTGTCAACAGGGCCGACCGTCTTTCCATAACATAAGGGGCTAAATCTTTCATAATATGATGAAATAAACTTTTACAGTATTTTGTATCAGCTGTATTAAATGCTGACTGACTAAACAGAAATTGGTGGTTTTATCACATTAA